AAGTCTGGGCCAGAGGTTCATTCCCATATCTCTTCAATTCCCCAATTTTACAGCGCTCAAAAATATAGAATACATGTATTTTGAGGGTATAACTTTTATTCATGAGCTCGGCGGATGGATTTTGGTCTAATTACCGGTGTGCACCCTTTAATAGCAGGCATTTTTTAAAATTTTAACACAAAACCACATTCAGGAGAAGCAGATTATCTCCAAAGTCATTATTTTGAGAAAAAAAATTGAAAAAAAAAAAAATTATCCAAGGTCGATGTTAGGCCTGAAAATAGTGACTTTTTTGCGCCTGCTAGCTGTAGAGCGCCCCCAAGGACGATAAATTGAGTTTCAGCTACTTTGAAGCTAAAAATGCCCCCCCCCCCCTCCCCTTTCAACTAGCAATTGCTGAAATCGGCTGATAGCCTACTGCTCCCTTACAATTTGGGACCATCCGTTTACGGAAAAACCGTTGTTGATACCTTTAAAACACTTTTTCCCCCTCCCCGTAGGTTCTGCCCACTGAAAAACCACTGCCGCGGCACAGCGCATGCGTGAAACGACCATCTTTGTTATTCTATATAGGATGCAACCCTGCAAATAAATTCCCATAAACATTAGTGCTAAATGCCCATACTTCAAAATTCTTTTAAAAATACTCAGAACTCTCACAGGTATTCAAGCTGCACAGAAAAATGATGATCAACATGTCATCTTTCGTTTTCTTTTCATTTTTTGGTAAATTGACAATTGACTTTTCGAGATATCCTCACCCAAAGAAGACGACCCCTATTTTCCCCAAAGCAGAAAAGTAGCCATGTTGAAAAACGATCCCTCTACAACATGGCAAAATAGCGCCACTTTCGAGCCCAATAGCATCCAAATGCTCAGAATTGGAAGCCCCAAGTCCGGGCCAGAGGTTCATTACCACATCTCTTCAATTCCCCAATTTTACAGCGCTCAGAACTTTCTAATATAGAATATTTTGAGGGTATAACTTTTATTCATGAGCTCGTATCGGCGGATGGATTTTGGCCTATTTACCGGTGTGCACCCAGCAGGGAACTCTGATGTGAATGAACCATGAGAGAAACCAAGGGCTGGGGTGAGCAAAGTTGAATTGCCGCCCGGAAAGGCAGGGCCGTGGATACGGCTGACAAAGCCGCGCCAGTGGATAGCGGCGGGCACGGTCGCCTGGCTGGATGTATTTTAGGTGTGTCTAAATTACTTTAAGGCCCAGTGGATGACATAATTGCAGCACGAGGGAAACCCATATACATGTAAAATGATCGGGAAAACCGGACGGCAGCCGAAGTAGTCAGGATGTCAAGAACAATAGTGCGGCGGCCGGTACAATCTTGGAGCGGCCAGAGGACTAGTTCGGAAACGAGCAATGGGCCTATCAAATGAAGGATGTAGTGTGTTCTAGTATATGAATACAACATGGTTTGTGGGGAAATAGTGAAAGCTAATTACCCCGAGGTGTTGGATGATTGGGACTATCTCTCCAATCACTCAACATCGAGGGGTCATTTGTTTTCACTATTTCCCCGCAAAAAAAACATTTTGTATTTGTTTTACTATACCTCATATATATTCATCAGGCACCATGTTTTTGATAGTGCAGTATTTGGATAAAGTGAAACATTATTTTAATTAAAGGAGACAGACAGAAAAGAAAGTTACAATCAGTGGCCGTGTCACGCACACAGCCCTGTTTGACCTCAGTTTCCTGTACCGAGGTCAGATTTTACGAGATTTATTCGAGACTACAGAAAAACACGAAAAAAGCCTGGATACATGCACTGTTTGGCCAGAATGGCTAAATAACTGAAAAGTTGAAATCCTGTGCTTGATTTTGATACCAAAAATAACTGCTTTTGACAAATATAAAGAGTTGTTACGGCCTGTCGAACAAAATCATATTTTTTATCAACAAAAGCGAGGGCCGATAGGTTTTAGGTGTACATTCGATTCTTAAAAAAGGCCGATAGAAACGGCAAGGCTAGGTAGATAGAGGAAAGCATACGCTTCATTTTCATGTGAAACACGTGCAGGAGACTTCTGATGTTTGGTCCAAATCGCCGTGCAATGAATGACTTATGAATATTAAGCAGGCCAAACTCGAGCTCGACCAATCAGTGGGCGTATGGGTCACAAGGTCACACTGTGTTTGGATTCCTCACTCTATGCTTTACAATGGCGACGATCTTTTCACGTTGTAAAAAATGGAAGTTGTTGGAAACATTAGGTGTACATCTAATTCTTAAAATATTAATGACATCACGTCCACTGGCTTTTTGTAGACAAAGGTTCATTCTTTCCTTTGATTACCTCAACATTCGGGAGACTTTCATGGTTCTCAAAAAAAAAACACCGGAAATTTCAGGACCTATTAGTGGATTTGTCTATGAAATAATATCATCAAAATGCATTGAAATCCTTTTTTTTTTCAGAAAAAAAATACCTTGATGGACGTATTAAGCAGGTCTTTAATTATCTATAACAACAACTTTATTTGCTTGGATCGGTTGTGGCCTGCCATGAAAATTGCGAATTTTCTGAACCCATTTCTACGGCCATCGTTCGCTGGCCTCGCGTTGCTGTCAGTTGTGTGGATGAGAAAATAGAGCAGCTACGTGTGACACGGAAACTGACTGTTAATTTTGTGTCATTTAAGACACAAGACGAATTTAAGACGAATTTTTTTATACTTTGTGGGATGAAAGGACTTTGGGAGCAGGTAACCAAAATAGCCTTTTTAATCGGATATTTTGCCCGTTGCCATGGTTATGGGCCATTATGCGTTTTGGCCATTTGTGGGCAATTTTGAGGCTGCAAAAATTCATTTTTTGGCGTTATTTTCAAAGGTCATCAATCCAAACTGCGAAGTAATGTCACAAAAGTAACTATATCACGACAAAGTATCATCCTTACCCTTACTAGTCAGGTGGCATATGGTCGGAATCGTGACCGACTGGTCCAAAGCACCAAACTTGGCAGATAGATTCGTATAGCCCTAGAGAAGATATTTAGAAGGGGTGACACCTGAAATTCTTTTGGGAAGGGTGCCTAATTTGCATAAATCGTTAATCCCTGCTGTGTAATATATTTATTCCCATATTTGGGTATAATTTTATTTTTTTATTTTTTTGAAAAGTGTATTTTGGTGATTCTACTTGCATATTCTTACTTCAATAACATTTTGTAAAACATATAAGTGACTGAATAATTAGGAGGACATAGTAAAGAACCAAAATTGCTACTATTTTACCCTAAAGTTACGCGCATATCATCAACTAGTCTCGCCAAACGTGGGTATTGATGAGCTTCAAATTAACAAAGTTACTTACTGGCATAGTTACCCTAACAAAAATAAGTGGGAAATCAAGTGAAAATTGATAACATCTTGATGTTTAGCCCAAAAGACCAAAAAAGGGGAGAAAATGTGGTGTCCGTAAATTGGGCTAGTACGGGAAGGGTAACGTGGGGACTTAAACAAGTTCAACAAAATCCCCCTAAATAAGAGATTATTGTTGTTTACAATAATTTTGTCTACGCCAAAACGTTTTCTCAACAATAATAAGGGGAATTTTCTTGAACTTGTTCCAGTGTTCCATGTTACGCAACCCTTCACCTACTTGTTAGCCTAATTTATGGACACCTCGTTTTTCCCAGTTTTTGTTTTCTGGGCTTAACTCTTTCAGTGCCCGCGACATTTCAAAAGTTTAACCCTAAAGCGCCCAACTTCGAGCTTTTTTGTTAATTATTCAAAATTCTATAAAAAAAAAAGTAAATAAGTTGTAATCACCAAACTTCTTGTATCTTGCTCTCTGGTATATTCTTGTTACCTTCAAAAGTCAATATTAGTCATGCACCTAGTAATAAACCCTGAAACACTCTCCTGAACACAGGGGAATTCTGCACTTTTGCAGAATATACGTGTATCGCGTCTGATACCCCTCCTCATACAAACTCTGTTCATTATCATAAATATTGCCATGATTGTCACTTTTAGCACCATCATTATCATTTGAATCGGTATCCCAATGTTCGTCTTCTGACTCACCATCCAATTCTGAAGTATCCATGGATTATTCTGAATCAGAAAAGTAATCCCTTACCCTGTCCTAATCGGCGAAAAAATACACTGATTTTCTCTGGAGATAACACGCGAGCTCGGTTTATGGGCGCCGCCATTTTGTCAACAAATCGAAACTCAGTGTGACGCCCTCTCACAAGAACTCGAATATAAAAATAAATACAGGTCGTACATGCATATAATTGGTACCATTAGAAAGAGCGAGAGCGCCCCCTTTTGATAACATGTTACTCTACCTCGTACATGTACGAGGTTTGGCGATTTTAAGCACGAAAATTACCTCGTACATGTACGAGGTTGGCGCTTTTGGACTAACAAAAATACCTCGTACATGTACGAGTTTGGCACTGAAAGAGTTAATATCACAATGTTATCATTGTTCACATGATTTTGCATAAGGTTTTAATAGGGTAGCTGTACCAGTAAGCTACTTGGTAAATTTGAAGTTCATCAATGCTAATGTTTGGCAAGACTAATTGATGATATCTGGAGACAAGGTAAATGCGCGCAATTTTAGGGCATAATAGTAGCCATTTTGGATCGTTACTATGTCCTCATAATTATTCAGTCACTTATATGCTTTGGAAAATGTTATTTAAGTAAAGATATGTAAGTAAAATCCCCAAAATACACTTTTCAAAAAAAAAAAAAATAGAAATATACCCAAATATGGGAATAAATATATAACACGACAGGGATTAACGATTTATGCAAATTAGGCACCCTTCCCAAAAGAATTTCTGGCAACAGGCAAAATAAAAGTTTAAAAACTCTATTTTGGTTACTTGCTCCTTAAGTCCTTCCATCCCACAAAGTTTTAAAAAATTTGATTTTGTGAGTGTGGACACTTATATGAAGTATTTACACGAAATGACTCTTCTTATATGAAGTATTTACACGAAATGACTCTGAATAAATTTTAACATTCACGCAAAACACTGCATTTATTTTGATTGTGTAAAATTTCACCCACTTCCTCCTCGATTAAAATCGCAAAGCGAGCACCACCGGTCACCATTTTGATGTACGCCTTAATAAACTGGCACATGCAACTGTCACGGTACGCACGTAAAGAAGAGATAACACAGTACTTGAACAAATCTAACTGTTGCAACCCAGGTGTGTGATAGTACCTCCCTGGTTTTGCGCGTCACGCGAAGATGCGGGGTGATAGTAAAAACTTTCACAAGGTTAAGTTGCTGGAATGGACCAATGAAATGCCGCGGTTGCTTGATGAATATTTATGAGGTATAGTAATAAAAATTACTAGAGCAGAAGGCTGTATCTATAATACCACTTAGTTAATATCTATGAACTCAACAGAACTTGAAGGTGGCCTGTAAATAGAACTTAAAAGCAACGACTGCCTTTGCTTACATTTGAGTTGAGCCCATAAACATTCGACATCATCTGTTTCCGGGTCATCACGGCAGATGAAAGTTAAATTATTTTGGATATACACTGCCACCCCACCCCCGTGACGGTTTCTATCTCTTCTGACAATACAGTATTCGGGGAGGTTAAGCTCTTCGTCGGAGATTGAGGAGTCACAAGATGTTTCGTTTAAACAGATGATATCAAATAGATTTGTAGACATTAATATCTTAAAATGGTCGAATGTATTCATAATACTTCTTACACGTACATTGAGGTGGGCAAATGAAAAACCACCTGCACTTTGATTGTGAATGATGCCATCTATTAAGTATACTTTGGAATCCTGCTCAGTGGGTTGAGTAGTTCTCTGACCTTCTCCAGGTATTGGTTCCATTCTTGGTCTCTGAGTCGATGATGGGCATTGTAGGTCTCGGATTGGGCCAGCTTGGGTCATGGTTGGTGGTGGAGGGGCTGATGTCGCTTCAACTACCGTTGAGGGTAGTACTGGTTGGATGGCCGGAAAACCGTCGAAACATCTGGGCAATCTCCAATCGGTTTAATGAGGGCATCAGAGTACGATATTGCACCAAAGGATGTTCTCTGCGGCATGAATTCAGTCGATGGTGCGTGTCAATATGTTTTTTCTGATGGTCCAGCTACGGAATGTGCTGTATAAGGTTTTTGGCCAAAATGCGTACTCCTGTGGTGTTGAGATGCACGCCGTCCAAGACGAGATGGTCCAAAGTTATGTTTCCGTTGTCGATAAATTCCCAGTTGTTGCTCTGTGTGATAGATTTCAGCAGATCATTTGAATCATCGACCTTCTTGTGTTGGGACACTGTCTGTTTTTTGCAATGGATGATTGACGAAATCGTCAATGACTTTGGTTGCAGTGTTTCACCGAGTGAAGTGATCTTTGCAGCAATTGTGTCTGCATTGTCAGAGGTGTTGTTGGTTCCGACATGAAGAATTATGTCAGAAACATTGTGCTTGCCTGACAGGTGTTTGCCATTCAGAGCGATGTCCTCAGTCTTCGCACCGTGCATGGTGTGGCAGATGACTTCTTTTTCCTGCTCAGTTTTCTAGGTTGCAGTCTCTTGATCATGGAGTCACCGATGACCAAGATATCTGCTGTGGTGGCTGGGTTGGGAGTAGGTGGTTTGGTCTTTGCAGTGTTCCTTTCGTTGTGCTTTTTGCGATACTGGACCAGCTGCTCATGAATGGAGGTCTTGGTTGTTGAGTGGTCGGGGCTGGTTGGGGAGTGTTGAACATTCCTGTTTCTTGCCAAGTTGGACACTGGGCGTCTAGGCCTTGTAGTAGGAATCGATCAGCAACTCCGCCTCGGTCCGTCGATGCTGTCATCGATGATGATGGGATCCACATCCTCCATAGCTAGTGCAGCAAAGCGGTTGGCTGTTGACAGCGCTGGACCGGCTGTTGGCTGTTGTTATCAGAACAAAAAACTACTTAGCGAAGTTGATAATAAGCAGGACAAGTTCTTTTCAGAACTAAATATCTTCTAAGCAGTAGTTATTACCACATGGTGTTACCGCAAACCGAAACGATAATTATTTATGCACGAACACTTTCTACCATGCCTATGCCCAACAGTGTCAGTTGCCTGAGGCATAATCACTAGCAACATTGTTTCACTGCACAAACTGTTCCTCTGTATACAAATGTGCTTGGTCAAGGGACTGCACAGAAAAGTGTGAAAGTTACAATACTTATTCCATTCTAACTCCATACCTCGTTCTATATAACAAGTGGTCTAAATGCAGTACTGTGGACAAGCCATAACTTCCATTTCATCCTAACCATTAGTACTTAAAGGTGCACTCAGAAAATACTGCACTTCTAATAGATTTAAAACTAACTTATACGCTAAATAGATAAAAGTTAAATTGATGATTACAAAAGAGATCTACAAAGTAATGTAACAAAAGTATAAACTTGAATTAGAAAAGAACTGATAAATGACTGTTACTTCTGTTCTCAATTTGTACTTAGCCATGATCCTTATTCAGTTAACCACCATCTGAAAGATACAGTATCTTCCTAGATCAAAACATTATCCAATGGCTAATTCTGTTAAAGAGGATGTGGAATGCTCGAAGACATTTCCGTCATTTTTCGGGTATATGTAGCCTAAGGTGTGATAAAATAAAAACTACTATTGTTTCTGTCATGAAATGAGTACAAAAGGTACTTTTGAGAGCTGTTTTTCAGGTCCAGTTTCGACCCGAACGTGCAACTGTGTAAATGTCGTCGTTGCGGGCAGCAAACAAAACACAGTAAATCGTGACGTAATAAACAGGACTCCCGATGCACAGTAGCATACACGAGTCCTGTTTATTACGTCACGATTTACTGTGTTTTGTTTGCTGCCCGCAACGACGACTTTTAAACAGCTCTCAAAAGTACCTTTTGTACTCATTTCATGACAGAAACAATAGTCGTTTTTATTTCATCACACCTTAGGCTACATATACCCGAAAAATGAAGGAAATGTCTTCAAGCATTCCACAACCTCTTTAAAGCATTTGACTCTGTTGACAGACCAACAATGTTTAAGATCCTGCATGCTTACGGTATCCCGGAGGAGACCATTAATGCCATCAAAATTATGTATGAAGATACAAGTGCTGTTGTTCTCACTCCCGAAGGTGAATCAGATTCGTTCTCCGTCAACCCTGGAGTTCTACAAGGTGATCCTCTCGCCCCCTACCTATTCATCATAGTTCTGGATTATGCCCTGCGGACAGCATTAAATGTAACCGATGGTCTCACCCTCTCACGCCGTAGGAGTAGTAGACACCCTGCCCAATACCTATCCGACCTAGATTATGCAGATGACATTAGTCTGCTTGCTGATGACACACTCCTTGATGCCGAATCTCTCCTCCATAAAGTAGAAGCTTGCTGCAAGTCCGTTGGTCTCTCTCTTAATGCAAAGAAGACTAAGTACATGGTCATCAACCCATCTACCTCTGATGACGTCACTGCACTAGATGGCAGTAAGCTCGATAAAGTTGATGACTTCAAGTATCTGGGCTCCTACACCAACACAGCTCATGACATCGAGTGTGGAAAAGCTCAAGCTTGGTCTGCTCTGTTCTCACTGACCAAAGTATGGAGATCCTCGATCTCCAAGACCACCAATCTTAAGATCTTCAAGACCTCAGTAGAATCCATCCTCCTCTACGGTTGCGAGTCCTGGACCCTGACCAAGCAGATCTCTGCATCCATTGATGGCACCTATACACGGATGTTGCGGGCTGTACAGAACGTTTCTTGGCAACAACATCTCCCTAACTCTGTTCTGTATGGTGCCCTTCCCCCTATCTCCACCACCATCAGACAGCATAGCCTTCGGCTAGCCGGTCACATTTATCAACATAATGAGCCAGCTAGTCAAGTTCTCCTCTGGAATCCTGAAGCCCCTCGACGAAAAGGTCGTCCCAACATGACCCTGAAAACATCCATCGAGCTAGAAACTGGTCTGAGTGGTCCATCTCTTTCCAACACTATGCTCGACAGGGACAGTTGGGCCCAACTCATCAAGTCATCATGAAAATGAAAGAATGAAGAAGAAGAAGAATTCTGTTATCTAGTTCAGCTAAAGTGCATTTAATACAGAGAAAATATATACAAGTGCAAAGTATTGTCATCTAAAATGTATCAAAATTAAAAGAATAATCTCAAACATACCTGCAACAGGGAGATATGAATATGATGTTCTCTCAGTGTGGTCTTATTCAAGAATGACCACATGCAGGCCACATGTTATGCAGGCACAAGTACTAGCTAGTAGGACTATTCCAAAAATAAAAATAGGGGTGCAACAGTTTTGTGTGGGGAGGAGCAGATCGGGTCCCTACATGCGCCCCCCCTAAAAATAAATGTTGTCCCAAACATTTCTGAAAATACTACAATTAGAAAAGACAAAAAAAATCAAGAAAACTTTCATGACAGTCCAAAGTGTGACAAAAATTGTTACATGTCTACACTTAATTCCTACGGAAAAAATTTAACTTGAACTATTTACAAACATCAAAACTATGAATGCTTCAGTGCACAAGTGGGACATAGGAAAGATCTAGCTCAGAAATGCAAACAAACTGTATGCTATACAGTAGTGTTTCCCAAGCACTGCATGAATATCGAAGTCAAGGGTCCTAGAGTAGCTAATTCTTGGAAGCCAAGGACTTCTCAATCAAAAGGATCATTCCATAATTTCGGAGCCTTCCAACATTGTTAATGTAAATGCAACACTTTGAAGCCTAACAAGTGTCTCTGTTACAGGATGGCGTTAACTTCTGATGGAGACTCCTCATCGCATTAAACTCAGTGGTGGGTAGGAACCCATTAAACCTCAAGTGTTCACGAATGTCTCCAAGTACCCTTTGCTGGCCAGCCTAATCCAGTCCATCCTTAACTCCTTTTCACTTGTCGTAGTTAACAACCGAATTTCTGCCATCTGGCCTTCGGAACATCTTTACATGTATGCCACTCCTATCCGTGGGGTAACATCTCTGGGACAGGCCCATTCTGAGGGTACATCAATGGGACTGGTCCATTAGGAGGATACACGTAAGGGAACTGATTCATAGGTGGTATCCATGCAAAGTTTTGAATCTGCGGTAACCATGTTGTGGCTGAGGCACAACAGTTGGAGTGGCTGAATGCTGAACATGACTCACTCTTGGCTCACCCAGGACATCATAGGTAAATCTGGCTTGGGCTTGTCTATTTCGCACTGGACGTTCGATTGGATCATCCTCACCTGGGTCTGAGACTGGATCTTGACTCACTTCTGGCTCATCCTTGATCTCTGCTCCTGCAGGTACATGAGTAGGGATGGGCTCATCTGGGGCCAATTCATCACTAGGGTCAAGATCCATTGTGTCATCCTCGACGGGTGCTTGGGCATCAGGTTGGAAGGTGACTGCCTCGGGTCGAAGATGAGTGGGTTGATCTGACGTCAGTTCATCTGCTCCCTTGGAACCCATCCACGCGATGTTCTCTTCTGCTTAACTGTCGTCACTGGATTGGTCTAGATGCTGAGGCTTGGGATCGGGGCGAGTCACCTTGCGTGGTTTCTTGCATTCTATCTGTGGTTCCAGTTTGTCTGGAGCTAGACACTCGCATGGAAGGAGATGGTTCCGATGAAGAGTACGAACTCTACCAGAGTTGTCTTCTGGTTGTACATCGTACACCGACATGTCACCTTTCTTCTGGATGACCACATGGATCTGCTTTTCCCAATACGATTCCAGCTTACTTGGACCTCCAGGGAGCGCCAAACGTCTCACAAGAACTCGGTCTCCTGCTTTAAGACAACTGGAGTTTGCCTTCCTGTTATAATAACCTCTGGCCCGTGTTCCGGCTTTCTCTGCTCTCCCTCTCACAATTTCATAGGCCTCCTGAAGCTTTTTCTGCCATTGGTCCACATACTTCTTCGGACTGGGATTTGAACAGTGGGTTCCGGAACCTGGCGTCAGACCAAACAGCAAGTCAACTGGAAAACGAGGGGCTCGGCCAAACAGAAGATAAAATGGCGAATACCCTGTCGTCTCCTGTTTTGTGCTATTATAAGCGAACACTACCTTGTTGAGGGAGTCCTTCCACCGGGCCTTTTCTTCATCTGTTAGGGTTCTCAGCATCTGAAGTAGAGTCCGGTTGAATCTCTCCACCTGGCCGTTCCCCTGTGGGTGATAGGGCGTTGGCCAATGTGGGTGATAGGGAGTGGCCAATGCCGCTGTACTGTTCTAGCTCACGAAACAGGTGATTCTCAAATTCCCCAACCTGGTCGTGGTGTATCTTCTTTGGAAACTCAAATCGGAGAACAAAGTCATTGAATATCACCTGGGCCACTGTCTTGCCAGATTTGTTTGTCGTCAGGTAGCATTGTGCAAACCGGGTGAAGTGGTCCATGATCACTAGAATGTACTGGTATCCTCCCTTGCACTTCTCCAGATGCAGAAAATCGATAGAAATTAGCTCGAAGGGTTCGGTGGTGGTGATGCCAGATAGTGGGGCTCTGGTTGGAATGTTGGGACGTTTGTTTTTAAGACATCTGCATTCTTTGGTCACATATGTCTCGATGTCACGAGCCATGTGCGGCCAAAAGAAGCGATCCCTTGCTAGGTTAACGACCCGTTCTGCGCCAAGGTGTCCCATCTCATCATGTAGTTCCTTGAGAACCCTGGCCCTGTACTTCTGTGGGAGGCCTACCTGCTTACGGGACTGAGTCTTCCTGATGAGGATGCCATCTGTATCCAGCTGAAGCTGGTCCCACTCCCTCATCAGTGCTCGTGTCTCTGGTAGGTCCTCTTGTCACTATTGTCTGGATGGTCGTTTCTTCAAAGTCTGGTAATGGATGACACGCCTGATTGCACCATCTTCCCGCTGCGACTGTGCAAGTGAGGCTCTATTGAG